GGGGGGGGGGGGGGGATTTGATTAATGTGTAAAATAAGAAAAGGGCTTTTCCCTTATAATCCTGTCATCAGGGAAAACTTTGTTCTAATTGTCTCTGTATCTTCTATTTTTCATCCGCTTTCAAGTATATGAAATTTGTATTCTTATTTCTTATGGCAGGGATCTACACAATAACAAACTGACCGGGCCAATTCCACCTCAAATTGGGCGGTTGAAGCATCTTAAGATACTGTAAGCCGTTTACTTTCTCATATATTTTGAATAACTTGTACGTTGTGTTTTTTATGCATACGTACTACATCATAAATACATTTTTCAGATTTTCTTTTAGTTTCAAGATAGAGAGTGAGTTCTAGATCCGAAGACGTTGCAAATAATTGCACTCAAAATCTTGAGTCCTTGGTAGTATTTATGATCTCTATAATTGAGATAAACATGATGCTCAGATGCTGATGCACTAGCTCAATTTCGTTTTTGAATTACTGTAATGCAAGTCAAACATATGTAGTATGCTTTAGATAAATTTCTGATCAATACAAATATTAGATCTATGCCAAAACCTTGCCACAGGACTCAGGAGCTTCCATGTTTTTGGAGTAATTAAAGCAACCAAGCTCCTGATCATCACCGTGCTGTATTCATTTTTTAATTCTCTTTGGTAGCTACATCGAAAGATTTTTCGCATGTTTCTTTGTGACCCTTTTTTGCTTCTTAAACAATTACACGTGGATTAAAAAATAATTCTCCCTCTTCCCCTGGACTGAGGAAGGGAAATATCCATGATGATATGAAGCTCAAGATTTCTGTTCTGAATATATTTTTCTTTAAGCAAATAAGATTCTTATTAAGTTGTTCCTCTTTTTTAATTTATGTTTGATCATCACGTTCCACATACTGTGTTCAATTTTTTTCTTTTGGATAAAAGTATGGAATAACTGAAAGAAAATCATTATTTTGATTGATGAAAAAGTGTATATCCTATTTAAGTTAATCTTTGATACCTTCAGTTTACTTGAATAATATCATTGATTTCAGCTCCATTGTAGTACTATCACCTCTGTTATTTTGAAAGAGTTCAAAGCTTAAAATAACAGTTCCGAAAGTTACAACAAGATTCTGTCAGTTGAAATCTTGTGTATTCAATTTCTGCCTATTTTTATTCTGTATAAATTTTGTTGCTTTCTGATTTTTTTTTTTTTTTAAATTTTTTCCTCAGTAATGTTAGGTGGAATAAGCTGCAAGATTCCATTCCTCCAGAAATTGGTGAATTAAAACAGTTAACGCATCTGTGAGTGAGATTCATATTTTGAGAATATGTAGTTCTTCCAGAAACTATCTTTGTTTCAGACATTATTCTGCCCCATTAACTGGCTGTTGTTTGAAACCTGCAGCTATTTGAGTTTTAATAATTTCAAAGGCGAAATCCCGAAGGAGCTTGCAAATCTTCCCGAACTTCGATATCTCCAACTTCATGAAAATCGGCTGACTGGAAGAATTCCACCTGAATTGGGAACTTTGCCAAATCTGCGGCACTTGTAACATTTTTCGTCAACGATATACTCGTGTGCTATTTTTTACCTTCCTCAGATCAGCTAATTAAGTTTAAATGTATTTCTAGGGATGTTGGTAACAATCATTTGGTTGGGACAATAAGGGAACTCATACGCATCGAAGGATGTTTCCCAGCTCTTCGTAACCTGTATGCAATTAAACTTGGCAGAATTTTGATTGATTGTTTGATCTTTGTGCTAATTCCATTATTTAAGGACTAACTTTAAGGATTTCTGTTGTATTATTACAGATATCTTAATAACAACTATCTTACTGGAGGCATTCCAGCACAGCTTGCAAATTTGACAAAACTGGAGATCTTGTAAGTTGTATTTATGGGGGATTTTGGGCTGTTTATTCTTTGCTGAATTTGGTGGTTTTTGTAACTTCTCATGTTAATTGTTTGTGTGTGTTATAGTTATCTATCTGGAAACAAGATGTCTGGAATTATACCATCTGGTCTTGCTCATATACCTCAATTGACTTATTTGTAAGTGGGCTTTTCTCGACACCTTTCTTATATTAATTGATGTTACCGGACTTCACTTTCCGGATTTGGAGGTCGTTGAAATATTTCTTCCCTGAAATGATCTTTTAATATATATATATATATATATATATATGAGTTTGAATGGATGAATGATCTAAACAAAAACAAATGGATTTGCTCAGTATCTAGTTAAACTCTTTTTCCCATGATATCGAAATATATGATTCATCATATGATCTGACTCCAAAGGTGCCTATTTTTACTCTGTATGTGATAGGGTGTTAAATGGGTCAGGCGAGCTGAGTGCAAGCCAGCTCGCTCAACCAAAGTGCATCTTGGCTCACTCCACGAGCTCGCACCTTGGTGGGGTGAGCCAAGCCGACTCACGGTGCACCAATTTTATTCATATAAAAAATGCATCATTGATAATGGCGAGCCTGTACCAAGATGTCATAGCTTAGTGACCATATATTAATAATGCGAGGGTGGCCGCTTGACACCACCAAGTAGTTGTTCCCATTTGTTTCTCTTTTAAGAAAGTTAAGGTCTGCGAATTTTCACACTTGGTTAAGTTTATAAAGAAATTCAGATATAGAGTCGTGCTTTATGAAAGATCAAAAATGGTTCCTAAATAACCACATAAAGAGGCGTGCCGATCCGTTGATGTTTAGGTCTTCAAGAGACACTTTTTCTCCAAGATTACAATTAATATAGATAAATCGTACAGGGTAAAATGTTAGGTGCTGGTAAGGGACAGTGATATTCGAGGATGGAGTAAATTGTACAGATCAAGGCTCTCTTCACTTGAGCCTCACCATTTTCAACATTGCTTGGTCTTTCATCTAACTCGGACTTGGAATTTCCTTAAGCTTCATCTTGTAGGCTTCTTAACCTCCGAAGTAATAATACCATTATGCCAGAAAGGGCGGTGTAGAATGGGAAGTGAATAGTTTTACTAATTTTAAACGCAAATATTGGAATTATTTATCAATGATCCAAGCTCTTTCTCTAATTCAGGTATCTGGATCATAATCAATTTTCCGGTAGGATTCCTGATGCCTTCTACAAGCACCCATTCTTAAAGGAAATGTGAGCTTTGCTTTTGCAAATTCTTTACAACTTACAATTTATACAACAGTCTCTCAGGCAACTTATTTTATTTTCATCACAGGTACATCGAAGGCAATTCATTTCGGCCAGGTGTGAACCCAATTGGTGTCCACAAAGTCCTAGAACTTTCAGATTCAGACTTCGTAGTTTAGACAAAATGATCAACTCAAGTTTGATTAGTTTTGTTTGTTGATGTAGTAGTTTTTCTGTCAAAGAATTTATCTACCACGTCTGAAGATTATGCTGGCAACCTTTGGCTCACTAGAAAGCTGTATTGATGAGTTATTAGGATTATAATTAAGTTGCGTGAGCTGTAGATAAAGATAAGCTTCACATAGAAATATGTTTTTCATTAACAATTATTTTATAATCCCTCTTGTTATCATTAATCGTTTAAATATATTAAAATGTTAAACATTCCCTCCCCATGATGAGTGGATATGGAGCTCAGGCGTGTCCCATTCTTTTAACTTGGTGCACAAATGCCATTTTTTTTTCCCATTAGCTGTTTTAATGGTTTAATTGTATCCATATAGCTAGTAAATCGCTTGCTTTGTAGATTTTTAAAAACTTTGAACCTCGACTCTTTATAGGTCCATTTTAAGGGTGAGTTCTACGTCAAAATTGGTATCAAAGCAATATTTTTTTTGGGGGGTGCATCCAAGTATAGTTTAAGAAATGAAGGTGGTCTGCCCCCTGGGGCATAGTCTAGTGGTGCAAAAGACAGAAGTAAGGTTATCTCATGTTTTGCTGGCAGTTGCAGTGTAGGGATTTGATTCCTGAGGCATGAAATTTGACTCCTTGTTTCCCGACCTGTTGGAGCACATCCCGTGATTCACCTTCCTCACAAAACTCTAGGGATGGGGTGGTGGGAGCCCTCAAGGTTGAAGCTCAACCTTTTTTTTGTTTTTTCTTTAAGAAATGAACGTGGTCCAGAAAACACACACAAAAAAGCCGTAGGTGTCACAGTTTTCAACATGTTTGTACTACTGATTAGGTATATGTTTAAAAGGATTACTTTTCTTGAAAATATATTACTTAAAAAGTAAATATCGTTAGTAAAAAGTTAAATTTTAAAATTATGTTTGACAAAATAAGTAATTTCATAGTAAGGAAAAGTTTATCAATGAATAATGAGGCCTGGAATTATGTTTGGCATATTGCACAAGGATAAAGAAGTGCAGGCAGAGGGTGAATTTTGCCCAAAATGGATTGAATTTTTTCATTAAATTCCATGTACTACTCGAAGAATTTATTTACAAGACTAGGAAAAAAAAAAAAGGAAGGGGGGAAAAAAAAAAAAAAAAAAAAAAAAAAACACATATCATATTGAATCAAATCGAGTCAGTTTAGGTTGATATATATATATATATAATTCAAATTTAACCATTAAAAAGCCGAATCAAATTAGTTGTGATTTTAAGCAACTAACCAGTCAATTAACTGATCTAACTCGTTGATACATCTTTTTTTTTCTTTTCATTTTAAAATTTCAATTTTTAAACTAAAAAGATAAAATAATAAGAACATAAAGATAATTATTTCTCAAATGATTTGTCTACCATCCACGTCTCTTCTATCAAAACTTCAAATTCCAAAAGAAAAGAAAAGCAAGAAGAAGAAGAATTGTTTGTTATAATATAAAAATTGAGATTGTAACCTTGATTTGCTTTCATTTTAGTGTAGTTGTTTGTTGATAAACTATCTATTAAATGGGATGATTTTGGGAATATCAACCATTTACCCTTTATATTATGATAATATTGACATGCATTATGCAAGCTAAAAAAAATTAGGCATGCAAATTTTTTAACCCAAAATAGGTAGGTAAATTTGTTTAACTTGGAAGTCTTGGATCAATGTCCAGACTAACTGAAACAATACGATTCAAATCGAGTTTGTTTGGTTCAGTTTGAGTTCAATAGTTGGATTGAGTCAATTTGGTTGAAATTTATCCAAATCGATCAAGTCTACTTCGAGTTGAACCCAAAAATCAACTCAACCCGAACCATAATAGGCCTAAGTAAGAGCAATATATAGAAGTGGAAATTACATATTCTGATAGATTAAGAATTCCAATTTTATAAATAAGATGACATGTTTAGTATTTCATAAATCAGAACTTTTTTGTTAATTAATTAATAAATTAATATATAAAAAAAATAATTAAACATTACTTCTCTCTCTATTCTCACTCTTTTCTCTCTAAATTAACCTAAACTACCTCACTTCTCTCTCCCTACTCTCACCTCTCAACCACGGCTCTCAACAATTGAGGGAAAAATATGAGATCCGACGCCAAAGTTAAGCTAATAGAAGAAGAGTCGCCGTCGTCCATCTCCAATTCAACGACGTCGGCTCCCTCCTATCTCCTCTCCTGTATTCGCAATAGGTCACCTCGTGAATCTGTGATGACGATTTGTGGCAGCGACTGTGGTGGTAGATCGGGGGGTTTGGGTAGTTGTGAATTTGTGATGGTGTTGATGGGTGGTGGTGCAGTGGCGATGATGGTGTGGTGTTGATGTGGTAGTGCAGGCGACGATGCAAGGTGCAGTGGTATTGGCGGCGTGAATATATGCGGGCGATGGATCTGTTGCAGTTGTGGTTGTGGTGTGATAGTATTGACGGTGTGGATCCGTGCAGGCGACGATGCAAGGGTGTGGTGGTATTGGTGGTGTAGATCTAGTGGCTTTGTTGGCTATGAATTTGTGATGGTGTTGATGGTGGCAGTGCGGTGGTGATGGCGGTGTGGTGGTGCGGGTGACGATGCAAGGTTTTGGTGGTATTGGCGGCGTGGTGGCTATAGCGGTGAAGATCGTGGTGTAGATTTTTTTTCTTGGTTGTTGGACGCGGCACAAGCGATGGCGGCATGGTGTTGCTGGCGGCAACGTCGACGTTGATCGGGTGGATCAATAGTGCCTTTGACCAGTAAATTACTTGATTTGGTTGTGGTGGTGAATGCGATGGTTGTGGAAATGGATAACGTGGGTGGTACTGGCTGTGGCGTTTGCAGTGGCGATTTAAAGAAATGGATGGATGCAATCTGGGGTGGGTTTTGCCGGATGCGGTGGCAGCGATGGTGGTGGTGCTGAAAATTGTGACTATTCATGTGACTCTCGATTGTGACTCGCAATTGAATATGTGACCTGAAAATTGTGACTAGATCTCCCAATTGTGACTCACAATTGATTAAGTTGTGATCGAAAAATTAATCGTGACCAATTAATTCAATAATTTGCAATGAGTAAATGAATTGTGACCAATAAAGTTTTGAATATGTGACCTGTAAAATTTTTGGATTCGTGACCGAAAAATATTCTGTGACTTATAAAATTTTCGATCTGTGACCAAGAAATAAGTTACGACCAATAATTTGATAAGTCGTAACTAAAAATTAATCTGATATGTGACTGATGAATAATATGTGACTTGTAAAATTTTTGAACTCGTGATCGAAAAATATTCTGTGACCTATAAAATTTTCGATCTGTGATCGAGAAATACATTATGACCAATAATTTGATAAGCTGTGACTAAAAATTAATCCGTGACTAATTAATTAGATAACCATGACCTAAATATATTAAATTAATAAAATCATAAAATTATAAATAATTTTAATAAAAATCTGATTTTTGAATTTTAAAACTTGTTTTCTTAATTTTGAAATCTACCATACTTAATATCTCACCTATGAAATTTTCCCTATATAGAACTCCTGAAACTGATAAAAAAATAAAAAAATAAAAAAAAAAATTAATTAAAAAATATATATAGAACTCTTGATTGACACTAAAATAGTAAAAGGTTTCTGTCTTGAAAAGTTTCCTTACGAAGAAGAAAAGTATGCTTTTCATTCAGAGTTTCAAGATGCAAAACCAGGCCTTCAATGCATGCATATCCCACGTTGCCTCACCGTTAACGAAAATCATCAACATAAACAAATCATCCCTTCTTTCTACTGCTTCTTCAAATAAGCATCAGGCCATGGTATTAATAGACCTGTCCTCTTAAAACGAAGATCAGAATACGTGCTTTTTCGTAAAGCATGGAGAGCCTGATCAGCCAAACAAGGTAACTCTCGAATTCTTGCCTACGATGTACCAACACGAACACATGTATCCCACACAACACTTGTTGAACACATCAAGACGCGATTTTACATAAAAATACCAACACAACATACACCTAGACACATTAATTAAATTCTTTTAAAAAAAATCATTTATATAGTATAATTTTAATTTTATGCTTATTGCTGATTTTCTTATTTAAAGTTTTTATAATTATAATTTTATACTTAATATTAATTTTTCTCGTTAAAATTTTTAAATAACCGTACATATTTGTTATGTTATGATAACTACGTCAAAGAATGAAATTTTCAAGGGAGTGTCGGTATCCAACATGACACGACTCTGATACGGACATACTCTAGTTAAAAAGTTCGTGCAAAATATAGATTCAACTGCAGAAATCAGTAAGGTATCCAAAAATTATGTCATGCATCTCTCTCTCTCCATATTTTTTTATTTTATTTTTTTGCAAAACAATAAACATAATCAATGGCTGCTTCTAGCCTCTTACAGGGGAGTTGCTTTGCTTTTCAATTTTCTTCTTTCTATCACCACTAATCGCTTTTTCAGAGCGAGATTTTTTGGTGCAGGAAAGGATAATAAAGAAGAGAGTAGCAGTAGTGGCAGAAACATACCACTTCAGAAAACGCAATCCGCCAGAGGTACACTTGAACTTTTCACACTTTTTCTGCATATAACAAAAATCAAATAGGGGAGGAAAAATCATTACTAAGTAGATGAAAAAATGAAAATACTAGTAATGAGTTCTGCAGAGAAAAAAAGAAGCAAAAGCTGGATAAGACGACAATTCTCCAGACAAACAAATGTGGAACGTGATTTTGGTGGTGATGAGTACCCTGCCGCTATTGCAGCAACTGCTTTGGCCATTCAATCACTTGAAGAATCAAGAACTGGGGATCAGGAAAAGCCAACTCGTGGCCCTGATACATCCTTAGTAAAGATGAAGAGCAAAGGCAAAGCAGAAGATATAGGAAATTTATCTGAACCACGCAAAGGTTCAATAAAACTCTCAGGTATGTTATGTGGAGAAAAAGAGCACCTAATATAATTTTGAAGTCTTAAAAGGTTCTGATACAATGTCATTTTTGTTGTATGAATAGATTTTCTATCAGATGAATCTTCAAAGACGAATTCAAAAGATACAGACATCAAGGCACCAATAAGCACTACGGCAAGTAAAAAGATGACAGAAAAGGAAGTTGGCACTGCACCATCCATCGAGAAGAAGCCAACTTTTGCTTATACTGATCCAAACGACATAATAATCGACAATATACCCGAAATAGCCTCGCCAGAGAAGGCTGCTGAACCTGTTACATCCATGGGAAGGCATCCTACATCCGCAGAAAAGCAAATAAACATCACAGGTGATGAAACTTTTGAAGCCATACAGCGAATTCCTGATCATCCACCCACCATACAAACCACAACACATCCAGTTGAGAATAAACAGCAGATTCCGACTAAACCAGGACCAGGAAATGCTGAGGCAGATGCTTGGGAAAAATCTGAGATGGCTAGAATTAAAGAAAGGTACAGTGTTATTTCCAACTAGAGGGAGAGTTCAATACCCCGTGTGTATGACTGTTTGTTTGTAAAATTATTGCTAAAATTTTTCCACCAGTTTTCTGCATTTAATGAAACGAGTTTCAGGTATGAGAAGCTGATTACTAGAATTCAAAATTGGGAGACTAAGAGGAAGAAGAAGGCAAAACGCAAACTACAAAGCATAGAGGTTTATTTACATCATATACGCTTTAAGCTACACAGTAATTATGATTATACATAGATACAATCAAGAAACTTAATTTGCAGGTTGAAGTGGATAGTAAAAAAGCAAAAGCCAAGCAGAAGTACCCCAGTGAGATAAGAAGAATTGAAGGAATTGCACGAGGAGCAACCACACAGGCAGAAAAAAATCGAAGAAATGAAGAGCTTAAAGTAATAGAGAAGGCTAATAAATTTAGATCAACTGGGAAGCTTCCAGCAACATGTCTGTGCTTTTGAATCTCACAAGCGAAAGGCTTCATGAAAAATCAAGTTGTAAGAGCTGTAAATACCTGCAGACTTTCAAGCTGTAATGTTACTGGCTCAAGCAGAGAAAATTCTATTATTTTGCACAAAGTGAATATGTTTAATTATTTGCCGGTTTTATTTATTTCTGTTCCGAATATTTTATTAAATGGTGATTTTCAATTTTTATGTGACAGACTCAATTATTTATCCAAATATTATCATGGGTTTCTGTTTCAATTATGGAAGCACCCCTATTTGTCTGGAATAATTCTGTTCAAACAGTGGAGGGGGCGCCAAATTGGTGCCCGTCACAGCCCTGTTTGAATAGCATGGCCCTTTTGCCTGTAACGTTAGTATGTGGAACAATTTAAAGGAGAAGGAATACATAGATGCACATTGACACACGAGATACACAAGAAAAACAAAAACTAGTGGCAAATAACAAGAAATATTATCTATGGCCGTTAGTCCTGCCAAACTATAAAAACAAATCGAAACAAGTCTCCCACAATAGTTGAAAACTTATAGATAAATGAACTTCTAAACAAATCACAAAATTAGAAATTTTAAAATAGTATAATCTATTTGAGGAAAAAATCCTGCAAAATAATGGAAAGACAAGAATTAGACACTCCAAAGTCCAATCATATAAGTTGAAGAGGAATCTAGCATTTACACATCAAATAGCTAGCCGGTCTGGTACAGATTCACATGTCCAGTAAGAAAATAATGGGTCAGCTAACATTCAGAGAGTCATTAACCATTCTAGAGGCAAGATTGGATGTATTATTCAACCCTTGGGCATAAGCATGGCTAAACAGATTGGGCTAGATAATCAAATCATTTCCACCTTTGGATCAAGAAAGAAAAGGCAAAAATCTCAAGGAAAAAACAATCAAAATATTTCAAATCTCCACCGAAGTGATTCAAAATTTCAGTAATGAGATTTAAAATTCAAACATAGCTATAACAGGATGGATTGAAAACAAGTTATATCCAGTTCTTCAAAAACATCAAGTCACTGATAATACCTCTAGCACATCATAGGGGAGAAGGCAGGAAGGGACAGAGAGCAATAGACGAAAATCATAAGACATCACTGTCCGCTGACTTAAGATTAAGCAGCAACTCCGACAGTCTTAAAGCATTGAGTACAACAGGGATGCAATATTTACAACATCCTTGAACATTTACTCTTGCAACAAAGAAAAATCAACAATTTTTGATCGAAGCGATTATCACTGCATACAAAATTCCTATCCTACAACCGTACTGAAATTGAAGCAAGAAAGAAACTTGATCATGAAGTTCTCTAACCAACTGAGCATATTAAGGTTCAAGTTCGAATCTCTCTTCCCAACCAATCCAAAGCAGGATATGCAAAATACAACACCAAAAAAGCAGGCAGTGCAAAGAGAACCGTGATTACTAAATACAGCATCAGGATGGTGGCACTGGCAGGTAGTGCAAATATGACTATCAGAAGTAGGATAACCAATGGAAACTTGGCGGTCATGCGAATGAAGAGATCAATGGATTTGTGAAGGGAAAGATGGGGCCTTTCCAAAGTGAGATTACCATTGTTATGGTTATGACTATCATTGCTGTACCCCGATTGTCCAAGACGATGAGGAGTCCTGTGGAAATTGTTGAAAGAGTAATTCCCAACAACTGAAGAGCACCTCGTAAACCATACCTGATGATGATCTCCAGAAATTATGGAAGCAGAATTTACCCTGTCACCGTTCCTACTCTCAACCATCCATAGAAGGAAAAAATTCTTGCAAGGAAACCTAAGATTACCCCTGTAAACCAATCGAAATGTCAACAAATTGCACCAAGGACAGGAAATGAATAACGGAATCTGGATCTGTTGAGCGTAAAACTTGAAGGCAGCCCATCGAAGCCCTAGGACACAGTTTTTGCATAGGGTGTGGCCACACCATAAGACATGGGGCACATTCTCAACAATGTTAAATGATTCCCAGCATATGGGGCATTCCAGTCCTTCCTCTGTGCTGGCATTTGAAGAGGTCTCGTCATCTGAGGAATCATGACAAACTCTACCTAATTCAACAGTGCTTTTCTTTTGTCCAAAGCTTAAAATGGAATTCGATATAGATCTCCACATAATGGCATAGAGCAAGGGAAATCTTAATTGGAAAAAACTATCAATATTCTGCTGAGCTTCCCACTAAACAAGACTTGTGAATTTTCAAGATGAGAAAATGCAAGCTTCATAATCATGCTGCTGAGTCTTAAACTGGTCCAATTCATGCCTCAATCATGAGAGGCTTCTTTAACATAAATGAAACCTAAACGAAAAGGAATGGGATCAGCCACGTGTGTCAATCATTTATCATTTCAGTTAAGGAAACAGTAATTGGCCATTTTATGATTTGTTTATGAAGCAGTGATTAGCTGCTGGTTGTTTAAATATTTAGGCCAGTCAGAGGCCAAAATTTTAAATTTATAACTGCACTACAACTACTGCCCAATAGAAAGGAAATAGAGTCTGAAAAAGAAAAAAAATAGTAAGTTTGGCTCTGCAGTAGCGGCTTAGGAACTTATTCCAAAGAAATTATTATGCAAATTATGTGCAACTAAGTCTTTGAACAAGTAGCATAGATGGGCAAGTCCTCGTACATATGGTGCAGATTCAATAATATCTTAACATGATTTTGAATTCTCGTCATTCCAAACCCCTTATGGAAGATCCTCACAATATAATCAACAAAAAGATAATAAAATGAACCCTGAGAACACAAATTCAAGACTAAAAAAGTGAATTCAAAAGAAAGGAAACATGTAATGTCAAAAAATAATCTTTCTCATTACATATCCTTACGGAAAAAAAAAAGAACATTATATCACAAATTCATGCGTTCCCATTCCAAAACAAACCCATGAATCCTCTCTGCTCAATAACCTATAATTCTACCATAAATGCCATTAAAAAATTTCAAATATTTACTACAAAACAATATTTAAAGAAAAATAACAAATTCATTGTGTAATAATATATAATTATGCATTTACAAATAGATAGTCTAGCAATTATACGGAATTAAAAGCATTATAATACATGATCGCATTGATTTTACAAGTAAAAAGTATATTTATTAGAGATATTTAATTGCATTTATATGTGAACATTGAATAAATTCACCATGAATAGCGACGGAGATTTCAACTTTCTTCTGGAAATTTTTGGAAGAGTAGAGATCAGAAGAGAGAGAAATCTCTCTTTCTTTCTCTTTCATCTTTCTCGGCGAAATGGAGAATTTAAACTGCGAGGTATTTTTCTGAATTCATAATTAATGGGAAAATGACAAGTAGGTCCATAAACTATTGTTTGTCTATCAATTTAGTCCTTAATTTTTCTTCACAGTTGCATAATTAGTCATCCTTAATGGAAACCATTCAAATATACAAATATACGTTAAATCATCACGTGATCCTCGCCTATCTATTTTTTTGAAATTGAAATTTTAATTTTAACTAATACTAAGAACCTGAAATTATGGTATGCTTTCTTATCGAGGTGATGCGACCAAAAAGGGTCATAAGAATGCTATATATATAATTAGTTGTTTATTATTTATAATTTTTATTAATTTGAATAATTTTTAAAAGATATTATCTTTGATCAAATTAATTAAAGAGTACAATATTATAAAGAAAAGAGTCACGAAAAAAATCAATATAACAATTTATTGAAGATTTGGATGCTTGCACTCATAATATTAATTGCTATTCCTTGAAGGTTAGGGACCAATTCCAAATTCAAATAATAAATTTTGGGGACCAGTATTGATATTACTCCATAATTAATTGTAAATACGACAGGTTTCATTGCTCGATCATTTTTATATGGGTTATTGGCATAGATCATTTCAAATTGTTGAAAACTCTCTATATGATCTTTGATCTGCGAAAGACCCCCCTACCGTCCATTCTCGTTAATACCGCCATTAAATTCACTTAAAGAAGGCCAAAATGAATAATTTTAAAAGTTAAATAATTAATGCAAAACTTCCTACCTAATATTTGTTTTTATTGCAGAATACCTCACATTCTCATATTTACGAAAAATTCCATACATAATTTTTTAAGTGCAGAATAAAACCTTTTTTTCTTTCCTTTTTCAATAAAATATTGTAAAATGATGAATATACTATCCTCTTTAAATAAAATAAAAGAAAAAGAAAAAAAAATAAAGAATTAATTGCAATAGTAGTTCCAAATTTTTTTAAAATGTACAAATGAGTCTCAAACCACAAATTTTAAGATTATCAAACCACAAATTTTAAAAAATTTTAAGATTATCAACTACATATTTACCCATCATTCTTGCCTTTCTGTCAAGAAATAAAATTCGAACAAAAAAGAAATAGAAAATTTTGATACAATTAAAATTATAGTAGTATTTTCTATGAAATGGTAGGAGTAAATTTGAACAGAAAAAATGGTGAAGTTTTTATGATTTTCTACGATAGGTTTCCATGGAGTCAGATTCGTGGGATAACTCCCTAAAACTCTCAAGAAAGATGTGAACTCTAGAACTTAAGCTGTGGCATTTTACAACCTCTGCTCCGCCATTGATGCCTCAAAATCTACATAAAACATGTATTCAAAGAGATTGGGAGAAAAGAAATTTTTATTTTTTAATTAGTTATTTGGGCCTCATTTGTACTTGTTTTTAAAAATTTGAGACTACTGTTGTAGTTAATTCTTTATGTTTTTTTTTTTTCTATTTTTAAAATTTTTTTCTATTTAAAAACGGTGACATATTTGTCATTTCACAATACTTACTGAGAATATGAAAGAACAATATTGTATTTCACACTTGAAAGATCTTCTACGAGGTTTTTCATCAATCTGAAAGGATATAAAGTATTTGCAATAGAGGCAAGTGTCAGAGGGTTTGGGCTAACTTACCCAATTTCAAAATTATTCATTTTGACCCTCTCTAAGTGGATTAACGACAGCATTAATGGGGATGGATGGTGTGGCGTCTTCTACACTTTAAAGGTCATATAGGAGAGTTTTTCCATAAATTTGAAAGCGTAAAGGGATATTTCGCAATAGAGACAAAAGTCAAGAATTTTTTGCACCAATAAACCTTTTTATTTACATTTGTGATACGAGGTCGTATTTCAAGAACGAAGTTCCGTTAAATTCTCCATTTATAAAAGAGTAATGTTACATCACCATAAACGCCAATTTAAGTGACAAATAAATGGTCTTAATGATAGATTTATTTAAATGTAAGGTCACATAATTCATTTAGTTAAATATATCGACTATTGCCATCTAGACTAATGTGCTAGATTTGGAATTTAAAGTGTAATTCTAATTAAAAAAATAAAAATTGTACATTAAATTATTCCAATGATGATTTGTTACTCAATTTAAGAAAATATATTGAATGAGATGACTAAATATAAAATGATAAATGTACTATAGGTGGCCTTATTACTTAAAATATTAGGTTAAGAAGGCGTGCAGAGCAGGGGTGGAGCTAGGAAAATTGTTCAGTGTGGTCATAATTTAACCCACGTCAAACATTGAGTTTTGATCATGAATTTAATGATGATAAAACTATAAAACAAAAACTAAAAATGACATAGTTTCTTACAAGTTTTCATATTTTGACAAGTGAAGTCCAATCAACATATGCCTAAAATCAAGCAAAATCATGGAATATTGCTAATAATAATAATAATAATAATAATAATAATAATAATAATAAAGGGGTTTGTGCCCAAAAATTTAGTTCCCAACATGGCTATGCCCCTGGTGCCGAATGCACATTTTCACTATAATATAAAAGATGCTAACATAGGCCACTATTTATATTGGACAAATTTCAACACCTCCTATCATCGACCTCCTCCTCTTCATTTTTTTTTTAAAATTTATTATTGGTCTAAAGCCCTAATGATTGAGAAAATCCTTTCACCTCCATGACCATACAACTACTTAATCCCTCCTCTCCCACCCCTAACCTATACGATCCATCCCATCTTCACAGCCTCCACCTCTGAACCAAATGATGTCCAAACACAACGCTTCCAAATCTCTTACAATTATGGCCCTTGATTGGCAAAGGACAACCCTTTTCTTTGATATTTTAGAAACATGTAAGTAAACTTTATTGCTTCTCAAAAATCAATGCTGTGATTCACAATAACATGCTCTATTTATGGAGCTGAAAAACAACGGCTATAGCAATAATCTATAGAAATTTGCTATTTGTACATGAGCGTTGACACGGTCAACGTTCGTGTACATATAGCACTCGTCTAATTTGCAGCCACTAACTCTCTAATAAAATGTCAATGCTCGTGTACATATAGCATTCCTCTAATCTACAGCCACTAACTCCCTAATAAAATGCTAAAGACTTGGTAAATGTGCAACAACCTCCCATTTGACTAGGCCAAAACAAACTATGTACATAAACAAAATAGACACAACTTATTAACTTACATAAAGATTAGGACCATAAAGTAATAGCAAATAAAATAGTCTTGACTTTTTCAACAGTCCCTGCATGAAACTGATGTTTCAACATTCAGTTTAGTAAATGTTAGTTCTAAACCTTACTCTCTCAAATTGGATTATCCAAAGTGCAAACACCAAGTATCTTTTTTAGCTTTTGAATGTAGGCAATTTAAAAGGCTTGGTTAGAATATGAACAATCTAATCCTTATTTCTGCAATAGACCAAATCAATTACCTCTTCCTTTGTAAGATCTCTTAGAAAGTGATATCTTACATCTATGTGCTTGCTCCTCCCATGTAAAATTGGATTTTTTGACAGTTTGATCGTCGAACTATTATCACAGTAAATTGCCATGGCTTCCTCTTGCTTGAAATGCAATTCTTTAAGAATCTTCCTTGGCCAAATTGCTTGACAAGCACACGTTGTTACAGCTACAAATTTCGCTTCAATTGTTGATAGAGTAACAATTGCCCGCTTCTTTAAAGACCATGAAATAGCTGTTATCCCTATCATAAAAGCATCACTAGATGTGCTCTTTCTGTCATCTTGATCTCCATAATAGTATCAATCTGTAAATCCAATTAAATCTGTCATCTCTCGCTTCTTATAGAGTAGACCATAATCATTTGTGCCTTACAAATATCAAAAAATTCTTTTGGTAGTAAGAAAATGCATTCTGTTGTGTGCTCTACGTATCTGCTAATAAGGTTGATTCCCTACATGATGTCAGGCCTTGCAGTTGTCAAGTACATTAAACTTCTCACAATCTGCTTGTACACGGTGCCATCTACTTTTCTTCCTTCAGGATATCTAACAAACTTTGTGCCCACTTCATTTGGCGTGCTTACGGAATTCCAATTTTTCATCAGGAACCTATCTTTAATTTCTTGTACATACTTCTTCTGAGAGATAAAAATGCCATACGCAAATTGATTAACTTCTATGCTAAGAAAATAATGCATCCTTCCAAGATCAGACATGTCAAATTCATCCATCATAGTTTTCTTAAAATTTTCAAACATGATCCTATCATTTCATGTATAAATTAAATCATCTACATATAGAGAAACTATGAACATCTTTCAAGTTTCATATTTTCTAGTAAAAAGTGTATGTTCATAAGGAAACTTGTGAATTCCTTCAGAAAATAGGCCTATATATAGTTATACCAAGCTCATTGTGCTTGTTTTAATCCATATAAAGCTTTTTTTAACTTATACAAGTTATGCTCATAACCAATCTTAACATATCCACGGGTTTGATCTATAAATACCTATCCCTCCAAGTTTCCATGTAAAAAGGTTAATTTGACATCTAGCTGGAAAATAGGCCAAACATTCTCTGCTGCTAATGAGATAAACAACCCGATGGTATCATGTGTTGCTACAACAGTAAATACTTCCTTGTAATCTACACTAAACTCTTGCTTATAGTCTTTGGCCACCAATCTTGCTTTGTATTTATCAACTTCACCATTTTCTTTTGACTTTGTTTTGTACACCCATTTGACACCAATGACCTTCTCTCCATTTGAAAGATCAGTTAGCTCCCAAGTGTTATTCCTTTCTATGCCTGCAATCTCTTCATCCATTGCCCTCTACCATTTTGATTGTTTGGAAGCATTAGTAAAGGTTACAGGATCACAATCTGAGAAAAGGACAAAGTGTGTAAATGGATCTTCAGAATGATCAATACCCATTACCTCATAATCGGTCATCCATGCAGGTCTCCTTCTGAATCTTTATGATCTAGAATATGTT